CTTGAAANCTCCATTTCCAAGTGCAAAATCTTCTTTCTTCAGGATTCCTTTTTCTATGTGAAGTTTTTTGCATTTGTCTAAGCCAAACTCCATTTGTATGTCCTTAGTGTATGAGTGTGTGATTTGTAGGAGTTGATGAAGTTGTTTCTGTGTGGATGCATAAAGTTTTATGTCGTCCATGTACATAAGATGTGACAGTGTAAACTGTGTTGTTTTTTCATGTCTGATATTGTAGCCATATTGCGTGTTGTTTAACTTGTTGGATAATGGGTTCAGGGCTAGGCAGAACCAAAGAGGACTCAAGGAATCTCCTTGAAAAATTCCTTGCCTAATGAATATTTTGTTTGTTTGTATGGAAGTGTTACTAACCCTGAGATGCAGTTTTGTTCTCCAGTGCTGCATAGTGTTTTGGAAGAATGCAATGAGTGATGGATGTATTTTGTACATGTGTAGAATATGTAGCAGCCAACTGTGTGGAACACTGTCAAATGCTTATTATTATTATATATATATAACATTTGTATATATATAAACATAAACAAAACATTTTAGATGTTTATATTAATACAGTAAGACCCCTGCTTAATGCAGAGGATGCGTTCCTAGACAACAAAGCGCTAAGCAAAACAGGGTTAAACGATGTCATTTTAACATAGAGTAAATAGGGATAGGGGAACATGCAACTGAAAATTTTTAAAAATTTTACTTTAATTTTAAGTTATTTTTATATTAATTTGTATAATAATATATGTTAAATAACACATAAACATGTACACACAGAAATGTATAATAATATATTAATTAGTTCATTTTTTCTATATTAATAGTTCATTTTTTGTGACGAAGGTCCTGACTTTTCTGAAATTCTTGTATTTTTTTCAATAAAGTCATAAAGTTTCATTTATCGCTTTTTTCTTTCCTTAAGCAAATATTGGTAGCAGAAGATTGCATCCAAAAAGTCTCATTTTGCTTTTGCACTCATTTCAAAATCTAGATCATTCGCTACAATTTGATCAACAATTTCGGTTATCATTACCTTCAAACTTTTACTAAGGAAATCTGTAGAGAAATTTTTTGGGTTCTTCGTTTTCAGAATCACTGTTTTCCAGTTCTACATGGATTCCTTGTTCTGCCAGTTCTTGAAGGTCATTGTTGGTAAGGATCTAACTTGAAACCTGCAGTAACTCCTCAATATCCTGTTTATCTACATCTCTTAGTCCTGCTGTATCGATTAGATTGAGTTTGATCAACCTAATGATACAGCGATAGGCTCTTCTCATTTAGAATTCTTGGATACCTTCAACCATAACTTCTTCCACACTTCGTTCGTGCATTTATCAGTTAATTATTGCCAAGCAAAGTCAATATTGCCTATGGCATCCATGATGATATATTTTTTCCAAAATTGCACCAAAGAAACATAGATTTAAAGAAAGTACACCTTTTTGCCACCTTTTGCTGATAGGTTCATGTTCATAAATAATCGTATCATGTATGAATCAATAAAATGTCGTGATAATTTAAATCAGCGTAAATTTTGAGCTTTTTTTTAGGCTTTGAGCAGACAGCATTATATCAAATCAGCATTAAACAAAGCAGCGTTAAGCAGGGTCTTACTGTATTTGTATGTGTACATATGTATATATATATATATATACACATACATATAAAATGTTTTGTTTATGTTTATATTTGTATATACAGTCAAACCTTGGGTTTTGAATGCAGCACTTTTCAAACAATTTGATTTATGAACAAAATTTTGAACTCATATATGTTTCAGTTGCTGAACAAGCTACTTGGCAAAAGCTGACCACAGATAGTCAACTCCCTATACTTTCTATATTAAATAAAGTTGATGGTCCAACCAATTAATGACAGGACTATCGATTCAGAAGTTAGTGACAGCATATTGATGTTGCTATTTAAATTAAATTTTAATGCACATGCAGGAAAGATCCTATTTTAGTTTTTCAGTATGCACCGCAGTCAAGTCTAAATCAAATTAATTAATAAAAATTGCATTGACATTCACATAATATAAATGGCATTCAAGAATTTGTGTTTAAATATATAGTAAGTTAAATTAAATAACAAAAATTTATTAATATAATATGTTATAATATTACTATTTAGTATGTATTAATACTATGTAGCCAGTTGATTAAAATTAAAAATATTAATTCAATTTAAAAATAATAATAAAAACTCTGGCCTTTACACCAAACTGAAACTAAAATTAAAATCAAAATTAATTGATTTGATTATAATAATATCAATTAAATTAAATTATCCACAACCATTAGGCAGATAATAGTGAGGGCTTATCAGACCAAATGATGGGCACAAACACTCAGAGATCAAAGTGAAAACAATTTAATAAACTCAAAAAGTTACTACATAAGTGTGAAAACGATTTGATTATATTTCATCCAGGCAGTCAGAGTTGAGTCTCTATTTATAGCATTTCTTTATAAAGTGTTAGTTTTGGTTGGCAGTGATAGAACATTTTGCTTTTAATATACATATAGAATAGATATGGATGTAGATAATATTGCATTTGTATGCATTTTTATGCATGAAATACAGCTAAAAAGGTAAAAAAAAAAAAAAAAAAGCCTTTGTTTTGGGGGTTGGGAACAGATTAATCCATTACATAAAATGGATTAATCTGCTCCAAATCCCCAAAACAAAGCTTTTTATTTATTTATTTGTTTTGGTTTTAGAACAAGTTGGTTTTTAAACAATTTTTAGGAACAAATTAAGTTCAAAACACAAGATTTGATTTTATGAGTATATATATATATACGTACGTACAACCCATGCCAAGGTAGAAGTAATAGCTAGTTGAGTGCTGTAGAGGGAGTTATAGGCTATGGGAGCAGAGTGGTCTCCAGTTGGTGTCACAAGTAACCTAGCATGATTGTGTATATCAATAAGTTCTGAAAACAAGGATTGGATGAAGGTCCAGGTAGTGTTACTGGCAATGGCAATGCAAATTATTGTTAAGCAGGAGTTTCAGATCTGAGTGCCACTTTGGGTGGATTTCTTTTCTTCCAGAACCTTCTAAATTAATTATTAAAATTTTAATTTAATTATAATAATTAAATTTAGCAAGAGATGGCATCTAATGCCTACCTCTAGTGCCAAATTACTTAGTATTTAATATATTGATAGCAGTAGTATAGCCTGATGTAATTATTATTATTATTTATTTAGTACAATGAAAATCCTGTATGTACAGGCTATTTATACCAAAATTACAAACTGTTATGCATATCAATACAAAAAGAATAATAATAATACAATACAACAATACAGTGCATGACAATTGGTCTGAAACGGAAAAATAAAAAAGATAACACAAGGGTACTTTCGATATCATCCAAAATAACAATAAAAATATTTATATTCCTATGAGGAAAAAAAACATGAAAAAGAAAAATGGCAGCGAATGGTCGGCATATACAAAACAAGATAAATAAAAAGAAAAAGAAAAAACTAAGCAATTATCTATAAAAAAGTGAGTATTGTATAGTCTGATGTAATCCGACAATCATTTGGCTTTAATATTAAAGCACTTTCAAGGCATGGCAATTGTGAGAAACATGAAAAAAAGAAGTGCATCATCCCATTTCCACCTTCTCCTATCCCAGTCATCACATCAGCTGGCAAAGCCAGTTTGCAAAGATTCTAGGTGACATGATAGGATAGTTTTTTAAGTAAAAAGGAATTAGTTGTAATTTCTTTGAGGAGAGTGTTGTAATATTAACTTTATCTGAAATAAGATTATTCTGTAGTACACAATAAAAGCATGCACATTCGCAAGTAGAATTTTCAAAAAAACAGTTCTGGTTTTCCCAATTATTTTCCAATCTTAAGCTTGTGTTTATAAATTAATGAACATACCATGCTCCTAATATAAATCATTAATTTTTCTAAACTAAAATAAACTTTAAAAAGTATTCAAAAGAATGGGAATTGGGCATTTTCAGTGGAATTGAAATTGAAATAAATTTTAGAATCCTCTCACTACTAATTGCTAGTCATTTAATTATTAATTAATAATAGATCAGAAATAAAATTTAAATACTTGTTTGGTACTTTTTTTATTTCTATCTTGTTTCCAGAAAAAAGGTTTTAACCTAAAAGTCCAAACCTTAATAATAACTCGAGTATTCTTTGTATGCACATTTTGTTATGAGTGAAAACTCTTTTGGTTTTAAACTTAAGTATATTTTGTTATATATGAGTTTGTTGTAGTTATACAAAAATATTATTGGTCTTATGGCTGTTTCATTCATACTTTTACTTTTGAAGTTGGTTTTTTAGAGTTTGTTATTAGAGTTGGCCAAGGGTTTGTTATAAGTGAACTCTAATATATTATAAATAAAATAATATAATAGAAATCAGTTATATCAAGGATTTTTTTCAGTACCTAACAATATTAGAATTATATATTCTAATACTTAGTGTGTAAATCCACAGCTATATATAAAAAAATAACAGTTTACTACTAATATTGAAATGTTCTTTAGTTATTTGTTTTAAAATGTACAAAAAATCTTGTATGTTATAACGAGAATATATTTAATTAAATTTAAAAAGACAAATATTTATAATTTATTATTATTATCACTTCAAGGTTAAAATGGTTATTTTTTTATAAAAACAAACGAAACTCATTATAGCTCATATAAATCATTACAGGAGTAATTTGATATGATTAAAGATGCTACGTACTATCATCTTTCCAATTTAACTCCTACTTCGTAGTTTTTTAATGATAATTTTCTAAAAGTCTAAAGTTAAAAAATATCAATCAAAAAATTAAATTCAGATTTTGTAGATGTTGTTTTAGGAGTAAAGGTAATATTTTGAAAAATCATTTTTTAAAAAAAGTAATTTATTGAGCACAAATGAAAAGTAATGAAAAAAAAATTGTTTGAAAGAATCCATTTTTTTAAATTATTTATTAAAAAATTGTTTTAAAATTATAGTTTGTTTCTACTGGAAGAGATACAGCCTGTGTTAAAGTTTTAAGAGATATTGAAGTAGGTGAAGAAATTACTTGTTTTTATGGAGAAGATTTTTTTGGTGATAATAATTGTTACTGTGAATGCGAAACATGTGAAAGGTAAATAATAATAATAATAATTTTATTTTATTCTTAAATAATAATTATTAATCTTTATTATTTTAATTATTTCAAAACTTAAGTTGTCAAAGTGTTATTATATTTATATAATAATTTATTTAATACATGACTTTATCTTTATACAGCATAGACCAGAGATGGTGAATCTTTTTGAGTCCGCGCGCCATATAGTAAGCGTAATTATCTTTAAAATGTTTGTGTGTGTTAAAGTTTTAGACTTCAAATAACGATATTTAAAAACATGAATTGAACATGCTTTAATTACAATAAATGTAAAGTGGCTGATTAAAAAAGGATTTACTGAAATGTATGTAAACTGAAATTTCATAGTAAAAAATAAAGAAAATTGTATAATATGTTTTATGCCAGATGATGTTTTCTTTGGGCATGTGTACCATAGGTTTGAGATTNATAAATTAATAATATGATTAAAAATTGCATTGTGGAGTCCGCGCGCCATATAGTAAGCGTAATTATCTTTAAAATGTTTGTGTGTGTTAAAGTTTTAGACTTCAAATAACGATATTTAAAAACATGAATTGAACATGCTTTAATTACAATAAATGTAAAGTGGCTGATTAAAAAAGGATTTACTGAAATGTATGTAAACTGAAATTTCATAGTAAAAAATAAAGAAAATTGTATAATATGTTTTATGCCAGATGATGTTTTCTTTGGGCATGTGTACCATAGGTTTGAGATTCCCACTATAGACAGAACTTTATTAAATGTAGATTATATAAGTATTGAATTTTCTTCAGATGAAAAGAATTATCATCACTTGTTATATTTCTTTTTAAGATCTATTTTTATTTCAAGTGCACTTTTTTTATATTTTTATGTTATTGAAAAGGCTTTTGTTGTTGCTATTATCAGTCATCATAATTTATTTTCAGAAATAATTAATGAAGCAATCGAGGACATTATATACATAACAACACTGTTTGAATAATAAACTCTGATAAGACAAAGTTTATTATTTTATATTTTCTTATTATGTTTGTTCTATAAATGATAAAATTGTAATTAATGGAATTAGATACCCTGGAGAAAACTATAGGTGATTTATTAAAGAAAAATAAAAGTGTGAAGATAAGTTTTGTAATAAGTGTTTTTTCTGTTCTAAAGATTTTAGTTAGAAAATAACATTAACTTATGTGCACCACTTTGTACTGTTTCTTGTCATATATGTATAACTCATTAACAAACAAATGTGCATGCTGTGTGTGTGTGTGTGTGTGTGCACGCGTGCGTGCGCACACACACACACACAATTAAAACTCATACAATGAACATATATGACTCAGTCAAGATATCAGAACTGATACCTCTCAATAATGCATTGGAAATATTCAATTTGCCATTATATCAAGATTCATAATTTAGACTAAAAAAAAGTTTGCATATTGCAGATAGATAAATGAGCTGACTAAATATGAAATTAAAATATAAAGAAAGTAAGAATGGCTGATTATAATATTTTATTTTCCAACAAGAATTAAATACAGTAGAGCGTCGATTTTCCGAAAGTCAATCATCCGAAATAATTCCAGTCGGCAAATTTAAATTTTTGCCAGTGCTGTGGCGCTTCAATCTTTGGCTATGTCTTGGGCTACCCAAATATTTTACGTTTTTGATACTAAATTAACATCTGAAGTATAATTTGTTATTGTTTTTATATTTTTCAATATATTTATTTTGTCTGTACAAAATAAAAAAATAATTTTTAACGATACAATAGTCTTTGTTAGGCTTAACATCAACGAAAATTCAACGCGAAGCGACACGCAATGGAGAAAAATTTCAACATCGGATACATTAAACTATTTTTTCGTACATAAATCGGTTATCCGAAATATAAGTTATACGAACAACCCCAGTCCCCAATTGATTCGGAAAATCGACGCTCTACTGTATTATCATAGCATAAAGTAAGATGTAACACTACAAGAATAGTGATATGTTATATCAGTTACATTTCCTTTCTTTGCTTACAATATCACAGATATAAAAAAACTGCAATAGCAGTGAATTTGGTTGATAGAAATATTTCAGCAGCTGTCAAAGTTAAGGATATTAAATAGTTTAGTTTCTGAATTATGACTGTAATTTTTTGCACCGAAGTAGATCTATTTGACAAGAATAGTTAATTTTGATAGTAAATAGATTTTATTTTTCTCTTATATTATTTAAATATACTTTCAAATAGAGAAAATCTCAGCAGGAATTATATGTTGTTTGAGAAAATAAAATAACTAATGATTTATGAACGTATATTCACTTGTGATTGACTTTATGGTAAAATGCTTCAGTCATTTCAGTTGCACAGTGAACATTCAAATATTCAAGATTTTTCTTTTTTATAGGACAGTACAGTACAATTCAGTAGTTTTCAAACAGTCAAATACCAAGAGTTGATTCACCAAACCACTATACAGAGATATCTCTAACTTAAAAAAATGCTTCAGAGTTCAAACTCTAAATGCGACAAAAATTCACTTGGGAGTTCAAACAATGCTTTGAAATTTGAACCATGCATGCAGTGAAAAATGCACTTGAAGTGTAAAATAAGCTTTTGAACAAAGCATACAATTGCAACTTAGCAGTACTGTGTTAAATTTCAGAAGTGTTATAATTAAATCACACAACTAACTTAAGTAAGGATTACTACTGGTATTAAAAATATGCAAAAACTTTCTGTTCAACCCTATATAAACTTTATTTATTGCATGGCATTCAAGAAGTGTGTGAAAGGAATGAAGTCTAAGAGGATAGTCATAATATTGATGATTGAGATGAAAAAAGGAACTTTATCACAAAGCACAAAAGTGGTTCACGTGTGGAGGATCTGGCTGGCATCCATGGTTAAGATGCCAAAGTTGATGATATGTGAACAATAAATGCAATTTTCATTTTATTATACATTATTTATGTATTTTATTTTTTGTTTCATGTTTTAATTTATTATTTAGGACATTAATTGTGTTAGTTTTACCTTAAATTATGCGTATTTGCTGTTTTAAGTTATCAATTGGTATCATTTAGGGTCTGGGAATGAATTAATTTGCTTTCAGTTATTTATAATAGGAAAAATTGCTTTAGACTTTGAACGATTTAGAGTTTAAATGGCCTCCTGGAATGAATTAAATTCAAAGTACAAGGCAGCACTGTAATTGATTCAATTATTGTGTTGATTCACTCACTTATTGCCAAGACTAGTAATGTAAAATATGGACTTTATTAGGGTTGTACTATATGTCAAACATCATATGCATAGTGGGAGATCTTGAATTTCAACTGCTATCTTTTGGAGTTACACTGCTAAAAGATAATTTGCAGCTATTGTTATTTGCTCTATTCTCTTTTAACAATTAATGAAAAGTTAAATAGTGTTTAATACTAGAGCAGTTAATAATCTAAATATATAAAATTACTTGTCCCGACTGACTGACTGACTCACTGATTCATCATTGCCCAGAGCAAACCGCTGAACCTAAAGAGGTGAAATTTGGTACACAGTTAGGGTACGTCATGAAAACACACACTAAGAAGGGATTTTTCGAAGTTCCCCTGTGGAGGAGAGGGAGAGCACTAAGGCTTAACCAGAAAAACGGTTTCTACTGTACTATTTTAAATGCGATTTATTGTTTTTATGTTTAGTCTTCATTGAGTACTTAGGCATATTAAATTGATAACATTTCAGACATTGTTATAAATATTTTGATATATTTCAATTTTTTAACCAAACATTCAAAACATTTTAAATTCAAATTTGTTATCGCATATTGGTTCGATTATAGAACGATTGTAAATGTTCCAGGAAATTGATCAAATTGAAAACAGTTTGACTCTTAGTAATTCTCTTCATTCTCAGCAGTAGGTGTTATATAAAAATTACTATGGTTGTTGAAATACTGAATACAAATGGGGTTTGCTTGCAAAACCACTGAGCGAAGTTGTGGGTAACAGCTAGTATAAAATATATTTATTCAAATAATTAGTTGGTATAAGTGTTAATTTATTTAAATATTTTTAATTGTCAAATAAATTATAATTATTTCTGAAACATTTACAAAAATTATTATTTTCTAAATGTCCTGATATGATAATGTTTGCAATAATGTATATTAATAAAACTATAATTAAGCATTTTTTATTGCATTTTTTATTACAGACGAAAAACTGGAGCATTTAGTACTCGTAAGAAAGATGCTGAAGAAGGAGGTGAAAGTAAAACAACATATAGTTTTAGAGAGACTGATAATAGATTAAATCGATTAAAGCAACAAGCAAAACTTAATAACAACAACAAGAATACTCATTTGAAACAAAAAGTTAATTCTAATGAGACTGTTGGTATGTTTAAATTAATATAAATGATATTTTTTGATACAATAGAGTGTTGATTATTTGAAATAATTGGTGTTGGGCAATTTCAGATAAGTAATCATAATTGGTAAGGAAAGAATAAAAAGATAAATACCAGAAATGAAGTAAAAAATATGAATTTTAATTCTAGTACAAGCACAAAAAAAAAGTTAAGGCATAGAAATTTAATCCATAAGAATGATAAATAACTAAAAAATTGTCTAATTTATTAAAAAGAAACATTTGTCATTCATTACAATCTACAAATTACTAATGAAATTTTGTATTTGAGTAAAAAATGCTTAATAGTAAAATTAATATTAAATAAAATACAGTACTCACTTAAAAATTATTTATTACAGTTTCTTTTTAAAGAAGTCACTTATTTTGCTTTGTTTTATGTAGATTTTTTATTTTTAACTATTAAATTCCTGGGTTGCTTGATTGTCAAGAGAATCAAAAACGTTGCTTTAGATTGCTTTTCTGTCTTAATGGTAATTCTAATGCATTGTATGCTTCACAGTGTCTACATGCTGTGAAGCATTTGATGGATTAGAAGCCTGTGACTCATTATTTCTACTGTAATAAATAAACCCTAACACTAATGTCAATAATGAAATAGTTTGATAGTGACCTTACAGAAGATCATTGACAATCATTATTATTTAAAAACTTTATAATTTCTGGAATTAGCACTCTCTGAAATCAATGCTTTGGATAATAAACACTTTACTGTACTTTCAAATATATAGATGTTGCAATACCATGTTTTATTTATTTTATTTTGATGTATACAGAATTATTATAAATGTATAGACAAGGATTTCATATGTTATATATAATTTAACAAAAAATTAAGTATAGTAAAAGCTTTATAAATTGGAATCATGTACTATCTAATTTTTTAAAATTTTGGGAGATTTTCAGTTTGAATAGGTTTTAGTATATACTGTATATATTTTTTTTATTTCTGAACTACATCAAATAAATGTTACACAATCATTCATTTTTATAGTAAAATTATTTTTATTACATATATGTAATATGTAGTAAGAAAATTTTATTACTAAATTAATCCAAATTAAAGTGATTCTATCTGAAAATGGGCATATTCAAATGTATAAATTGAAAACTACTCAATTCAAATACTTCTCAGATATGATTCTTGTGAGTTCACATGACAGTGAATAAGCTAATTGGAGTTCCAAGAATTGATGTCTTGCTTGGCTGTCAGAAATTATAATCACATTAGAATGACTAAAGTTTTCAATACTTTGTATCAATGATTCTTGATTCTCAACCTTTTTTTCATCACAGTACACTTTTAATAATTTAAAAATTTGGTGACACACGGTTACTTCGTGAAGTACTGCAGGACAACCAATGTCATAACAGTGATTTTTAAACACAGTTGGTTATTTAGGTCACATTTTCTAAACATCTTAGTAACTACAGGTAACCGGTTACAATTTCCAAATGTGCCCTAGGAAGGTAGAACCAATTAAACTACATGTCTGATGTCGCTTATGTATGGATATTTGCAGTGGCAGTGTGAAGTTTCATTTGAGGGCAATATATTATTGCAGACAGGAAACACATAAAACGACTAAAAATACAAAATTTTTTTTATTCATCAAACACAGGTTCTTTAAAATGATTACAACTTACAGACTATTGGGTTCGTATACATAATAATCGTCTACACAAACAAGCCTCTATTGTGGCAACCGACACACGACCTATAGCTAAACTTAATCTACTTACAAACTAAGGAAGGAGAAATAAAATATAGATAGGGATAGTAGAATAAAGGAGAAAATACCCGGGAGTTTTCTGCCACGTGGTCTCGGATGATTCACTGTCTTGAAATTCTTAATGACTGCAGACCTTATTTTCTTTCCTCTTATGAACGTCTACGTTTTCTGAAGTTGTCTTGTGGTCTTCCTGCTTGCCGTTACTTGAACATGGGAAAACTCGATTTCTTTAGCAACTGCCCTACGTTCCTCTATAATTCAGCCGTCTTACAAGGTTCCGATACCTCTGATCTCTCACTATGCGATCAGGGTATGATCCTCCTTTGGTTTTCTATCGCAAGGTTTCTTACTTCTTGCTCGACCCCTCGGTCAGGACCACACTTGTTTTCTTCCTCTCTCGATGAAATCGCAGCCGCTTCTCCTTTCTTTCACCTCGCCTCCTCTCCAGGGGGTTATTGCTCCTTTTGTCTTCTTGACATTGTTTCACAGAATCGGTGATGTCACCCGAGGGAATAGGGATTAAGGGAGAAAGTTCTAGAACAGTTAAGACAAAAGAACAGAGGAGATACTAAGCCTAACTAAAATTAACAAAAATATATATAAAACTATGGCCGACGGCCACAGCAGCACACTAAAGTGATGCGGCACAGTGGTTGAGAATCACTGTTTTGTAAAGGTGATAACATACTGGACATTTATTTAAGAAGAGTCTTTAAGAGGTTTTGAACTACACATTACAGTAATACAGAGACCAAGTGATGACCTGTGATCTGATTTTTTTATGGAATTTTAATATTCAAACTGTTAACTCTGTAATTACCAACAATGTTAATCAATTTGTTTTTGATTACTCTGTACCAGTTAGTTAATTACTACTATGTACTTGGTAAATTGGTGGCTCCATATTTTCATTGTATTCAACAAATTACACTTGTTGTATCTTCTTGGGATCTCAGTTGAGTCTTGAAAGTTCTTAATTCTGTCCCTGGTTAATTTCAACAAAGACTAATACTGTATTAACAAAGAACTTATATCTGTATGTCTGCTTATCACATGATCTAAGAAGGTCATGTGATGATGAGAAAAAGTTTAAAATTCTGGATATAATATATATCATGGTATATTGCAGATATATAGTATATATCTGCAGGGACCATTATAGCAGTTTCCCTTATTTGTTCACAAGTGGAATTTTAATTTTCCATTTTATAGGGCTGCAATTTGAAAAAATTGTAGAACTATTCTCACTGTCATCCATCTGGCCTTTCTTAATCTAGAAAACTGTGTTCAATAGATGAAAATCAAGACCAAATATGGAAAACTTAGGGGCAGGAGATCCTAATTAACTATATAAAAACTTCCAGACTAGACTGGAAGTCATGTGACTTCAGTTCAATAATTTTCCCGTAATGAAGTTACATAGATAACTGGCACTACTCTGTTGTTATCAGGAAGAGTATGATGTACAGGGAAAGACACTACTAATTTGAGATCAAGAGTATATATTGTAAATCAAATAAATTAATAATATGATTAAAAATTGCATTGTGACAATGTCACAATAAATAATTGTTCATTCAGGTTAAGTTACATTTTTCATACTTGTAAACTTCCATTTTCATATTGATTAAGTTTCTGGTGTATAGTAAAATTTAACACTTTCCATTCTGAAATTTAGGCAAATTCCATTCTAAAAAGATTTTATCATACTTCAAATTTATTTTAAAGAACTTTAATCAATTTTTTAATCTAAGTCTATGGTTTTAATCAACTAATATGTCTTGTGGAACACTAGCATGCCACAAGGTGAATTAAGAAATTAATACACCAAATTTTAAAATAAAAAAAAAAATGATGTAGCTTTGTGTGTTACTTAATTGTATTTTAGAAGTTTGTACAAGCTAATAGCTAGATCCACCACTGCTTCTTTCGTTATGTGCAGGCAGCATAATATATATTATTTATGGGACCTTATAACTAACTGTTTCATTGGTTTTATCTCTTGGAATGTTACTGACTATGTGGTATAATCATGTTAAGATATACAGAGTTGATGCTATTAATTAAAAATGGCAAATGAAATGTTATCATTTGTTATATGAACAAGATTTTGATATTTTGATTTCCACTGAAAATAACTCTGTAATGAACTAGTTAGTCATAATTCAACTGTTGGCTTGTCTGGCATATTTAATAACAATCTTCACATTATTATAAAAGTGTGCCATGAGTTCAAAAAAGGTTGAGACTTGTTGATCTAGAGCTAATTTTGATTCAAAGATTATCATTATCAGTTATGTTGTTAATATTGTACAGGTAACCCCCGTATAACACGGCATTTCTATAGCACGGATTCGCTCTAACACGGTTCGAGAATTGGTACCATCCCCCGTATAACACGGTACTTTTATAGCATGGATTCACTCTGACACGGTTCGAGAATTGGGTAAAACCCTCGTACAACAGGAAATGTAATAAATTTTTACATACTTAAGTAATAATAGTTCACGAAAATTATTATTTTCGTGAACTATTAGTACTTAAGTATGTAAATTTTCTCTTCTCGCCTTCTGTCGATACACGTGGTCCTTCTCGAAACTTGTTTCAATGTTGCCAGATCGCGACGCTTCTGCTTCTGATGTTGCCGAATGTTTTTCCCTTATTCCATACTTGCTTTATTCTTCATAAGTGCTTAGCACCATATAAGGAAATTTATAAAGACCTTTTAACTAGAAGCAAGCAATCTAAAATTACATACATTTTGCAAAAGGTAAAGCATGGATCTGAAGATAATGCAGAAAAATGCTCAGAGGATAAGGATAACTTGCCAAAAAGAAAACGCTCTCGGTTAATTAATAGTGTTTTTAGTGATGACGAAGAAAACATTGTTTAATTTATATTAATATGTATCACTTAAAAAAATTTTAATGAAGATATTTATCTTAATTATGAAAATATACTAGCATGTTTTTTAATTTTTGGAACCTAACCCTCCTTTTCGTATTAGTTCTTTGTTTCGTATAACACGGATTCGCATAACACGGCAATTTTTTGGAACGTAACTACCGTGTTATACGGGGGTTACCTGTATTGTAAATTATTGAATCTGATTCAAAATACAATGTGTTTCCTTACTATGTTGTTAGGATTTTTTATAATTTTAAGAAATTTTCAATTTGACACTTGATTTATTTGCATTTTTATGTTATTCAAGTATATTTGTTGTTAGCACTATTAAATGCATTTTCATATTCTGTAATAAAATCAGTAGAATGTAAAATAAGAAAGACATTCAAGCAAAGTAGTTTTAGGTTTCAAACTATTTAAAAAGAAAAAAAGTAAATCTAGTCTTAAAATTACAAGGTGTGTTCAAAAATTTTCAAGAAGAGTCAAAAAATCAAAATTTGTTAGCATATAAAGATATTTACAGTAGATCCCCTATAAGACTGGTTCCTATAATTACGATTCCTATAAGACGGCGAAAAAATTGTGGCGGTATCCGTACACAATGGTAAAAAAACTCCTATAATTACGTAAAACGTCATCGGGCAGCCGAACTACTTTCCCGCCGTCTGTAGCGCCACGCTACGGACGTTTCGGCGGGTAAATTGAGTTTAGTTTCGTCTGTACATATAATTATATATTAATTATATATAAATTAGGTACTGTATATATAATTATATATTAACTTAATTTATTGTAACTTTATTATAATTAAATATATATTTTTCGCTGTCTAGTGGCGCTACGGAGAGTTTAGGATAGCCTATCGTCTGTCCAGTACTGTAATTTTATACATTTCTTGTGAAAGAAACATTTCTTATTTAACGGCCATAAAAATTATTTATATTAATGATGTCTCCAAAGGTCAACGAAGTTTTCGCAGAAAAATAATATCAGAAATCGCGGCCGCGGTTTGATGCGCTGTTCCGCGACGAAACCAAGCTTTAGCAACGGGCGTAGTCGAACGGTACACACTCGGTAAGCAATCCTACAATTTTTTGTTTATAACGTAGTTTATACGGATTATTTTCAAAAAAATATACGTATTTTGGAAATGTTGAGTCGGATTAGTCTAGAATCAATTAATTTTATGGAAGAAAACCTTTCAAACAGCCATAGTCCGTAAACTTCACATGTGTCGGGCTGTGATTCCTACAAAATCGGATTCATAAAGAACAGAACATATCTACCGTCTTATAGGGGGATCTACTGTATTTAATATATTTCAAAATAATCACCTGAAAGTGCTATATACAGTTGACCCCCCCTATAATACGGTAGATATGTTCTGCTTTTTATGAAACTATTGTTCTACGAGTCCTTAAATACATGAGCCAATCACAGCCCAGCACGTATGCAGTTTATGGACTATGGCTGTTTGAAAGCTTTTCTTCCATAAAATTAATCGATTGTACGCTAATTTGACTCAACATTTCCAACACGTATAATTTTTTGGGAATAATCCATATAAACTATGCTATAAACAAAAAATTGTAGGATTACTTACCGAGTGTGCACCGTTCGACAACGCCATTGCTTAAGCTTGTTTATGTCATGGAGCAGCGCATCGAATGGAAGGCACGTGTTTCCTGATAAGTTATTTTTCTGAAAAAAAATTTGCTGAACTTTGGAGACATCATTAATATAAATATAATTTTTATGGCTGTTAAATAATAAATGGTTTTTAGTAGGTCTGCTGCTCGTTTAAACTCAACAGTTTGTGCAATATCTGCTATTCGTCTAGATTCGACCAATCCTTTCGCAATACAAGTTGGCGATGACATTTTATCGTATTTTATGAGTTTATTTTGGCGTCTTTATGCGAATATGGTTGCAATTTTTTCGCCGCTATGTACAAATCCACATTATATGAACCTGTTTTATAGGGGGTCTACTGTATGTGTTATTTTGTCAAATGATAAATATTTGCCTGTAAATATACTAGTACATATTACAACTTTGTCTTATTCAATAGAATTGAGGTGGAGCTGGAAAGAAAGAAGCAATCCTTGCACTTGTTAGATAGAGAAGAGGCAATCGTTATACTTGAAGGTTGCAGATAGGTGAATTTTGCACTTGCTATCACAAAAGAGGCTATCCTTGTACCTGCTGGCCACAGAACATGTGATCCTTGTCTGATACAGAGAGAGAATTCTTGCAGTTGCCATCATGAAAAAGCAATTCAAGAACAAAGCAATCAATGGCAATTGCTTTAGTCTTGTGTTTTATTCATTTCTTGTGCCTAATTCCCATTAGGTACATGTGATACTGTTTTTATTTTTGACCCCTATATTTTGTTAGTCCACTCAGTCGCTTTGGAGAACACAGACATTGTCACTTTGTATATCAAAAATGAAGTCACGGACTCCTATTTTTTTATATTAAAGTAGACACTTATTATATTTTTGGATTTCTCATCACAATTAATGAAAATAGCAAAGTTTTATCAAAATCAAACCATCAAATTTTGAGAACGAACTGAATTCTATAAGCCCATAGAAGACGTGCTAGCAATGTTGGACATTGCCCGACAAAGTTGCATGATTTGTGTGATATTGCTTTGCTATTCATGCTCATCCTATGTCCTTATATCTCAAAAACAAAGCATATACCCCATTTTTTTAATTACATTTTTTAATTCCTCATCACAATTAAGAGAAAATGGCAAAGTTTAATCAAAATTGATTGATCAAACTTTAATATCAAACACAATTTTGTAAGCCATGTAGAAGCTTTGCCAATGCTCTGCCTCAACTATTTGCCAAATTGTTTGTCAAAAAATGAGCTAACCTGTATACATGTACTCCTATTTATACAATGTCTGTATTGTGGTTCTGGAAGCATTCAGGATGAATATTTGCTACTACTTTACCTATCAAAGTAGTAAACATTCAGGTTTGGTGAATTGAACTTATTGTTAACATTCATCCTGTTTTGATTCCAATGAAACCATGTTTTAATTTAATTTGCTTTATTCAGACACAATAACATGACTCCTTTTTAAACACTTGGCAGATTATTCATCTCTTTATTCAGTTGGGGGCGCTAGTTACAAGTCGCATTTCAGGCATTAGCCCCTCCTCAGCCAACTAAACATTAAAATCAAACGTGAGAAAATTTTACATGTACATATGCAAATTAAAAATTCCGTAAATATATTATATTTAAAAAAAATACCTTAAAAGTACAAATTACAACATACAGACTGCATACATAATGGACTGTATCAGATTCCATAGATCGAGTGGAGAATGAACAGATTGACAGGTCACGAACTTGACAACAGGACTTGCAAACTTTGGTTTAATATAAATAATATTCAAATAAAATAAATCAAATTTATAGACAATTTATAACAGTATCTATTTTACCTGTAATTTATATTTTGACTCATCCCTAGATTCATTATATTTCATATAAATTAAAGATAAAATAGATACTGTTATAAATTGTCTATAAATTTGATTTATTTATTTGAATATTATTTATATTAAACCAAAGTTTGCAAAGTTTGTAAGTCCTGTTGTCAAGTTTGAGACCTGTCAATCTGTTCATTCTCCACTTGACCTATGGAATCTGATACAGTCCATTATGTATGCAGTCTGTATGTTGTAATTTGTACTTTTAAGGTATGTTTTTTTTAATATGTTATATTTACAGAATTTTTAATTCACGTATGTGCATGTAAAATTTTCTCATGTTTGATTTTAATGTTTAGTTGGCTGAGGAGGGGCTAATGCCCAAAACGCGACTTGTAACTAGCGCCCCAACTGAATAAAGAGATGAATAATCTGCCAAGTGTTTAAAAAGGAGTCACGTTATTGTGTCTGAATAAAGCAAATATTTATCCTGAAAATTAACAATTAGAGTTCAGAGAAGCCACTTGACAAAAGATCACTATTCTTCTTCAGAAGGTGGAAACAACAACATAAATTCAGCTAAAGGTTATCAGAAGTGAGCTATTTACAAAATTCTTCCACCCAGTAAAATACCAACTAAATGGAAAACAGCAAACATACAGGTATACTGGCTAATCCATTTACAACAAACTGCTCATCCAAACTACTATGTATTCACCAAATGGCAAACATCATTTGGGATTCAATAAATACTGTATATGTGGCACCAACTTGATCCTCAATATACTTTCTTTAATGATTTCTCTAATTTAGGAAACATTTAGAAAAAAATCTGCTTCTTTCACAAATGACAAATTTTTTTTCTCATGTGAATTTCTATTGACACAAGCCATCTTAATTTTGAAGTTGGAACTGCTATTCTTCTTCAACCACTTTTGTTTCATTGATCTAGCTCTATTTCCCAATAACTTTTATCTTTACTCATCATTAAAAATTACTTTAAGTAATTATTTTGAAAAATATTAAATATATATATATATATCCTAATGTACAGTAGAGCATCGATTATCTGATTCAATTAGGGACTCAGGTTGGTTGGATAACTGAAAAGAATAAAAAAAATACATTATTAGTATAGTATATTAGTATATCCCATGTAATTAGTATATTAGTTTATCACTATTAACCAACTTTGCGTTGAATTTTCATCGATGTTAAGCCTAACAAATTTCTTTTTAAATAATAATCGTCACTATTGTATTGTAAAAAATTATTTTTAAATTATTTTATTTCTCACAAAACAAACAACCACTCATAATTAGAAAATTAAGTCTTGTTTAAATAAAATACTGGCCTCCCTTCAATGGTCGAGCCAGTGTTACCAGCTAAAACACGCAAAAATTTAACAAAAATAATATTAAAGTAGCCAAGACGTAGCCAAATATTATAGTGTCACATTACTAGTGGACATTTTAAATTTGCCGACTAGAATGGTCAGTTAACCGAAGTGGCGGTTAATCGGGGGTTGGATAATCAATGCTCTACTGTATTTTTATTTTTTGACCAATTCCTGAAACTTTTGGACACACTTTTAATTATTCATTTAATATACAATGTGGAAAATATCTAAAATGATAAAAAGGAGGAGGAAATTTCATGATTACTAATTTTGTTTAAAAATATCACTTATTTATAAATTTTTTAAAATGCTCCATAAATTGTTAATTCAGATAATTTATGAGATATTTAAACTGAATTTTTTTTATAATTCTAGATAAGAAGATTAATGGAAATCTTCAAAAATCATTAACTTTACATGAGATACAATCTAAAGGATTAAATAGACCTCAAATGTTGTTCAGTCAAAAATTTAGCCTTAACCATTCAAATGGTATTTTATCTGATAAAAATAGAATAATCTCTCAAAAAAAAGTAACTAATGAACTTCAAACTGAAAATTCAGCGAAAGCACAAAACTCGTTAAATAAAAAGTTGGACAAAGTTCAATGTCAATCAAAATTAATTAACCATAATAAAAAGTATTGCAAAATTCAATATAAAACACTGTCATCAAGAACAGTTGGAAAAGATAGGAAAACTAATGTTGAGAAACCAGCTGCACCTACAGCATGTAATGAAAGAAACCAAAATATTGATGCTTTAAATAAGGCTTCAGTATATAATATAGATAATGAAGATCTCACTGTAATGACAAAATGGGCTCCACGTTGTAGAACAAGAATAGGTTCAAATTCATCTATAGTGCCATGTTATAAAAGTGATTCAGTTTTAAATAAAACAAATGTTAAAATTGAAACAACTTTTCCTAAAGAAAAAAATGATCAAAGCACTAATAAAAAATCTCTTGTTCCAAATACAACTCGTAGTAAAAGGAAAGAATTAACAGAACCAGAAAAGCAAGAACTTAGGAAAGACTCTATTAGTGAGGTAAACAAATTATCTACTAATTCTCATAAAACTAATGGTGGAAAAATTAATCCGTCCACATCTCCAAACCAAACAAAACCAAAAAATGGTAAGTATGACTATAAATTACAAATGGACACGGTCAACGTGAAGAACAATTTAGAAGACTCCCCGCAGGGGTGCTTAAAGTTAACAATTAGAGTTCGGAGAAGCCACTTGACGGAAGATCACTACTCTTCTTCAGAAGGTGGAAACAACAACATAAATTCAGCTAAAGGTTATCAGAAGCGAGCTATTTATGAAATTCTTCCACCTAGTAATGCTAGTAGTCCTCGTAAACATCAAAAGAAGAAAAAGAAAAAAAGGAAGAAGAAATCTCAGGAAAGAGATATTTCGAAATTAGAAATGAGTAACACTAAAAGACCAAAACTGAATTCAAATACTGCTTCTCAATTGTGTTCCAATTCAGAATCTTCTAATTGTTCGTTAAACAGTTCTCCTTTAAAACCAGGTACGAAAAGACTGAGGTTAATCTTCGGCAACAATTCTATTGATATAGACATTCCACCATCTAAAGCAAGAAGATTTTTTTGATTCTTTAATTAGTTAGATAAACATTGGTAACTAGAACAGATTATATTAATAGGAAATCATCTTTATTTTATACTTGATAGATGGGAATATTATCCTATCAGCCACTTTTATGTGCCTTCATATATGTCCCTCATCTCTTTGAAAGGCAATTACAGGTTAAGAAAAATCATAACATCTAATTTTCATAAATTATGTTTAAAATTAGGACAAAAGAATAATAATGAATCATAGTGATATATCAATCCATCCATCTCTAGATATCATGTCATAATCATAATTTATTTGTAAGTAGAACATCTTCAATTTAACTAATACTTATTACTGTTTGTAAATATAAAGTATAAATAATGTATATTTAAAGCATTTGTAGTTCTTTATTTGTTTCAAAATGTCTTTCCATTCTTACTATTATTATTATTGTTAAATTACTTCAGGTTTCTAAGAATTATTTTCGAAAAATAATATTTAATTAAAAACTCAAATATATAAGTTTTGTTATGTTTTATATATTTGAAAATAATAATTTGTGAATCTGTGTATTTTGTAACTTATCTTCATACAGTTTTTTTTGTTTTTTAATTGCATTAGCTTGTATATTAGTTAAGTGTTTGTAATGGTTTTTGTAAAGATATTACTGGAAAAAATATTTTATTTTTAATATTTCGTTCTGAAAAATTCCAGAAATTATTTTGTAATTATGATGATAATTTCATGATGAACATTCTTAAATAATTTGATCTTTTAGAATGTACTTTTTAAGTTAGATATTCCTGTATTCACCTTTCAGAGATTGCAGTTAATATTGAAATGTGCAGTCCACGATTGACGATGACGGGGCACATTTCTCTTCATACTGTTTATAAATTCGACAAAAATGCACATAAAATTTAAAACTGTTTTATAAAGTAGTTCACAATGTGAAATTGTATTCAAATCATCCAGGGACAAGATTAGTTTGAAAAATAATTTTTTCTTGAACGAAATCTATTATTTTTTTAAGTAATTATGACTCTATTGTAATGTTATTTCGAATTGTTTAGCTATGAATGGATATATTTAATATTGAATAAACTTAAAACTGAATATAATGAATATCGCATAGTAGTAATAAAGGTTTACAGATACAAAAAAAAGTGTTAATTTTGTATATAAAGTAAGGTTTTGAATTGAAAGTATCAGCTGATTTTGGAAGAAATAAAACATTATCACTCAGAAAATGTAAAAATATTGTTATGGTGTATTTAATAGAATGGAAAACAAAACTTGTATGAACAAAATTCATATCACAGAATAGAAATTAAAATTAATGTAATATATTTAATTCTCATTATATTTTAACAATAATTTATTAGATAATTGAATTATATTGTTAACTTTCTTTAACAGATTAAACAAAGATGAAGTANCAAGACGTTTAATAATTCCAGATTTATTTTAATAATTTTTTTCAAATATAGTAAACCCTGCCAACTCGAACAATATTTTTTTTTTTTTCGAAAAATTGTAGAGTAACGTAATTTTTCTATTGTCAATAAATTGTACCCTATATTCATGAGTAATGTTATATAATTTCTCTGCTATTCCACTTTTCTGGAGGATATTTACCCTGAAAATAACGCCCAATGACGAGATAACTCGTCAAGGTTACATAGCGTTACGTAAAATTCGGTAGTTAAGGCCACTTTTGATGTTAAAATTTATATAACTGTTATTTTATTTAAACTATTTCTCTAATTCATGTAAATTTGAACTTGGAAGTAAAATTTTTGTGCAATTTCTTGAACATAAACTGTCTGTAATTCAATTTTATAAGCAAACATAACTTTTTTCTTTTAATTTATGATTGGTTTATTTATTTTTTGCAGGGTTTATTGCTTGTTTCTGTGCTCAGACCAAAATATTTTCAGCATAATTCCTGAAATATTCATCGAATCTTGTCCCTGGATGATAATTTTCAGACAGAATTGTAATATAAAAATTTCTCTAACTCATGAACATCTCTGCTCTTTATTTTTCAATTTAAAATATCTCATTGAATGTAATCAAAGAATTTAAACAGAATTAATCATTATTATTTTCTTCTATTGGGATTAAAAATACAAAATGATACAGAGATCAAAGTAATTTTCTGTATTTGATTGAAATGGAATATAAAATAAATATTGTGAGAGGTTGCATAATCGTTAATTTCATTGGCTTAATTGATTTTTCTTAATTCAAACTGTATTTTTGGGATTTTAAAAAATGAAATTTTTGCTAAGCTGCACCACTGCCAATGATATGTACAATTATTGTAGATATACACTTTTTAGTTGGGATAGATGTATTCTAAATGAATATATATATATATATATAATTTANTCTATATATATATAATATATATATATATATAAGCAAATGTAATTATATACAGTAATTGTATTCATGTTCAGTCATAAGTGTTGTGGAACGGAAGGAATGATAGAATACAATAAAATAAGTTTTTTGAAAAGTCTTATTTTTATTAAATATTTCAAAAGAAAATAAATCAAACTTTCATTTAATTTTCTTTTAGACAATTTAGTGTACAAAATAATTCCAACATCCACTTTATTGAAAATTCTGAGAATGTTTTGTTTTAATTCCCAAACACTTTCAAGCCTTTCAGCTTAAAAATACTTGAGAATTAAACTAAACGTTGTTATGATCGTCAATAATGCAGAAAATAATGGATTTTGACAGTGATTCTAATAAGCTTAAAGATTGCATGACACAAATATAGGGTCTTCCAAAAAGAATGCTAACATTTTAAATTATTGTAATTACGTTCTTATCCAAGAGCATTGTAATGTGCATTAAAACATTAGAAAACTGTCCAAGTTTCATATTTGCTTGTTACAGTTTCTCATTGTATGTACAGTATCTTGTGTCACATTGCACACATCCAATGGATACTAAAATTCTAGACTTGCTATAGCATATCGGCTGTCACGCCTTCCACAGCAGCCATAATTCTACAGTTCCTGCAGATTCTTCATGTTGCACAATGTTTAAGGGTTGCCAGATACTTGGGTATAAAATCTAGGACAAAATGGAGTTCTTCCTAAAAACTGGAACATTTCAATTCCAGGACATGTAGGATGCTTATTTTTAGTCTGCCAGTGACAGAAATACATTTAAAATGTGGAAAAAGAAAAACATAGTTCATTGTACAAATGGTTTAGAACAGTGTTTTTCAACCTGTGGGTCGCGACCCCCAGGGGGGTCGCAAAGCCTTACACGGGTGTCGCGGGTAAAAGAAAAAGACGAGTGTTTGTAGGTCCTACACTACAATGAAAAAAAAAAAACTACCATTTCAGTGAGAAGGCTGTACCTGTTTATTTTACAGTATAATTGGTTTTTCGATCGATATTTAGGTCTCAACAGAAGGAAAATTAAATACGTAGTTTTTAAAATCATTGATATAGTTTTAATACGGCCCTGGGGGGTCGCCAGAAGTTTTTAACTTGCAAAGCGGTCGCGTATTTAAGAAGCTTGAAAAACACTGGTTTAGAATGAAGTCCTCTTATTGCTAGATGGCAGTTAGAAAAAATATAGGACAATTCCTGAAAACCAGGTCATCTGGTGTCCCCTACAATGACAAGTGATTCCAACCCTGCAAACTTCAGAATACAAAACACCTCTGTTGTGGAGTCATCATTTTTCTTTGTCTACTACCTCTAGGAAGTAGTAATGAGACATTCCAATGCCAATGAGAGATGAAACTCAAATAGTTAATCTATCGATTGGGGTACAGTACATCACATACCTCTTGCATAATAATTAACATAATTACAGTAATTTAAAATGCACATTCATATTGGAAGACCAGTATAACTGAAATTATGATGATATTTTGAGCAATCCATATCACAGTATGTATCAGTTGTTTTATCAATATTTTAAAGTGGAGAAATTGAATTGGATCTAACATTTAATTAATATGGTAAGATCTTGGAGCAGTTTCTTGTGTATCAACATTATCTGTGATAAAATCTGACTGTAAATTTAGTATTTCCATCCATGATAGTTGGTAAGAAACCTTTGACAGATAAATAATTTGAATACTGTTTAAATAACATTAATTGAAAGCAGCAACATAACAAACTATTTTAGAGAATCTATTTATAAATTTTTTAAAGCTAAAATTATAATCAAAATGCACTAATGCGTACTATGTATACTTAATGAAATGCATAATCTATCATCTTTCCATAAATATAAAATTTTCAAATAAAATACAATATAGGCGGATTTAGAGGGTGTGCAAGATGCAACTGCAGCTTCCTTCTGAGGGTTTTCCCGAGTAAATCCGGTTACCTCTAGTAGTAAAACATTTTTGTAAGGCATATTGTTTTTTCTGCACCCTAAAGATTTCTAGATCCGCTGTTGAATATAGGTAATATACAGGTACTGTACACTGGTTCCTTCCATCCGGCCATCGATTCAAGACGTTTAATAATTCCAGATTTATTTTAATAATTTTTTTCAAATATAGTAAACCCTGCCAACTCGAACAATATTTTTTTTTTTTTCGAAAAATTGTAGAGTAACGTAATTTTTCTATTGTCAATAAATTGTACCCTATATTCATGAGTAATGTTATATAACTTCTCTGCTATTCCACTTTTCTGGAGGATATTTACCCTGAAAATAACGCCCAATGACGAGATAACTCGTCAAGGTTACATAGCGTTACGTAAAATTCGGTAGTTAAGGCCACTTTTGACAATTTTTTTTTGAATTCTTGGAATGTTTTTTAGGTCCCCAAATTTTTTCAAAATTTTTTGTCCGCGCGAAAAAATTTTATCGCGATTTTAATGAGCCTTTGATAAGGCTCGATTAAGGCTTAATTGTTTTTTAATGGGAGTTTTTTATCAAATTTATTTCATGGTTCCTAAGTTGTAGCGCACGGATTTGACTTCGGTAAAGTTATTTAAAGCTGCTTTCTGATGTCAAAAACGACCTCCAAATGTTTTTAAAATTTTTTTAATTAATCGATTTTTTTATATACAGTAGAACCCCTCTAATCCGTCACCTTTGGGACTGGGGGTATGGTCGGAACGCAGAAAAGGTCGGATTATCAGAAAAAAGTAAAATAAACAATCTTCCCCTTTGTCCAGTCTTTGTAGCACTGCTAATTTTTCATTTAATGAAAGAGTAACGT